CTGACAGAGAGGGATCATGTGAAGCGCGTGATGTCCAATGTGTGTGTGTGTGTGTGTGTGTAAGAGAGAGAAAGAGAGAGCGAGAGAGAGAGAGAGAGAGAGCGGCAGTGCTGCTCTGCTGTCGCTCTTCATCAGCCAATTAGAGCGAAGCATGCATGGAGATTGGATGCATCGCTTTATGTCAAACCAGAGCTGCTGAAAACACAGAAATATTGAATAATTTGACTTATCTTTCACAAATTTTAAAAGACGTATCATCGGAACTTTTCCAAACTGCAAATTGGACCAAAAACTGCAAATCAGCTGTGCAGCAATTATGTGCAGCAAATATGTGCAGCAATTTCAATTATTTTATAAAACCTTGTCATGGCAAAAATAAATCTTAAAAGAAAAAAAAAACTCAAAATGATGACACTAATATTTACAGCTATAATTATAGTTATTTTTTTCTTCACTCTGGAACTTATTTTAAATTTAATCAAAAAAATGACTTAAAATGCTGTATTTTTCTCAACATTATTATTAAATATATTTTACTCTCTATAGCTTCTCCTTTGCATTTTTTTATATCTTATTTGTCTCCATATGTTTGCCAAGTTTTTCCTTTAGACTTGCTATTAAGCTTAAAACATTTCATAATGTAATGGAAAAATATTCTTAAGCATGATGGAGAAAAATAGTCAAAGTCCCTCAGAATAACTGTACAGTTTTCTGCAGTGTCTGTAGACGTGCTCTTAATCTTCACATAATCTTAACATACCTAACAATGAGCTGCTGCTGCTTCTTCTTACAGATCAAGAGATTAGTTTTGGAAAGAAAAAAGTATCTATTAGCTGCACTCTGGGCAGCAGGATTGTTGGAATTCACATACATAGTTTTGGACTTCCTTCAATAGAAGCATCTATCTCTGGATTCCTCCTGCAGTTGAACTCACCTTTTACAGTTAAACGTTTGAAAAGTCAACGTAGCCCTGATGTTCTTCATTTACTCTTCTTGATATTTGAACAAGTCTTAATTTGATTAAAGACAAACACAAAGAAAGTAACTCTCATAAGTAAAACCCTGGCGTAAAACCGAAGTCTCCATACCTGATACACTACACTGCGATCCAAATTATTATGGACCAACGTCAAATTAAATCCTATGGATTAGAAATGGGATGACACTTAAGGTCAGATGTGAGACAAGGCAGGTGAGCCAATACTTCTGGCAATATAGTGTATAAGAAAAAAGTTGCATAGTCTATGGGATTAAAAGTTATCTAAATGTCTTTATTGTTTCTTAGAAGGATAACATATTGCAGTGTCCTCTCTGGGATCAGTGGAAGTTTAGAAACACGTGTTTGATAGAGTGAACATGTTCCCATGTGGGACTCAGATTTCTGCTGAATAGGAGCAGCCATCAGCTCTGTGGTGTGACCGGCCCTGCACATGTTAAACACTGCAGGACCGTTCCACCTGAAAATGTTTTTATTATCGCAATGCTATATTACATAGTATTTTGAATAAATATTCAAATACATTATGTTGTGCATTCTAAATGTCCTTTAAATATAAAGAAAATATGAAGGAAGGGTAAAACAAGAGACGAGGTTTTCCCAGAAGGATGTCTGAGCAGAATCTGATGTAAGAAATGTGACTGGACAAGATCTTAAATATATATATGTAGTCAAGTAGAATGTATTTATAATTCTAAAAGATTCAAATTAAAACCTACACAAAACCTTTTCTCCTGAAATCAAAATGTTCATGTTAAACCTGCAGTATGTAACTGGTATAAAAAATTTTTTTTTTTTTACATATTTGTTCATACTTTTTCACTAAGTCATAGCAGTTTGTTAGGAGACAGATAACCGGTGAAAAGATCTTTCTTCCACCTCCTCCCTGAAGAAACGCGTCGCTCCTGGCCAAAAACAACCAATTAGAGCCAGGAGGTGGGGCTCAGCATTGTCCATCATGGCCGTGTGTCCATTGCTTACAACCTCCCACCCTGAATGATCAAGCTGATAAGTATGGCCACCGATGACAGGGGAGAAGCAGTTTTCCTGTAAAGGTAAGTTGCTTCTCCACCATTAGCACATTAGCTGGGGTGGGAGGATGTGAGTGGTGTACACATGACCATGATTGACAGTGCTATGCCCTGATGATCATTTCCTGTCAATTGTTTCTAGTTCATACTGGGAAAAGGCAGAGGAGCTTGGTTTGCTCAAAGATTATCTTTCTCATATCAGACAGTTACAACATAGTGAAAGCTGAAACAAATATGTGAAATACATATATGGTTTCTTTTTTTTTTTAGAAAAGAGACATACTAGAAAAAAAAGTGGAATGAAAATTACATCTGAAGATAGGCACCAGCACACCTCCTGACCCCACTAGGGACAAGGGTGTTAGAAAATGGACGGACGGACGGATGGAAGTTACATACTACACCTTTAACAAAAAGAAAAATATTAGCAGATATGTTTGAATCAAATACAAAAACATGCAAAGCAATATATTCATGCAGCTATTATCAGAAATTGTGGTGGAATGTAAGTGTAAAGTCAAAGCTTCAGAATACCAACATGACTAAAATTAAATACATTTTCTCTGTTGCAATTTCAGTTGAAACGCACCTGATTTGGCAAAACTGTTTCCTCAGTCTAAAGCCACACCCAGAGGCCTTTACAGGCCCCAGCGCTGCGGGTGCTCTCTGTCTGACTCTGTTTTAAAGGCAAATAGACGAGCAGTGAGCATCGTGGTATGATACACGCTGCAGCTCTCAGCCTGCTGGAGTTGCAGCGTTCTCTCTGCAGATTCCCGGTGCAGGCGGCCTGATGTGGGTGGCGTCTCTCCGCCTCATGGAAACAGGAGACGGATGAGCAAGTGTTCAGACCAGCAACATTGAATTACTGCTGATCATACAGAACTAATTCAATCGGAGGCGATCCTTGTCCTCCATTTCAATCACGCCTCATCCTCAAATCATTCTGGGGTTTTCTTGCTGCTGACAGCCTCTCATGTTCCCAGAGTCCAGGTGAGCCACCAAACCGCTTTTAATGGCCAAACTGCAGAAAGAGTGTCGGGGGTGCATTACTCAGCAGCGTACTGTTACGGCTTTCTGCTTTTCAAACGATCTTCTACTTGCCAGCACATGTGAGAACGCAGAAGCTTCATGCCGCAAAAGCATACATACAGGGTTGCTATCAGAGCCGGGGGCCATTATTAGCTCAGATAAAAGATGCTGTTGGAGGAGAGGGGGAGCAGGGGACCTACGGTGATCTGACAGTGATAAAGCCTGAACGATAGAGGAAGAAATTCATGTGTGTAAAGTGATGCATTTGGAGGGTTTGGCTTTCTCATTAGTTATGCAGCGCAGTGCCAGACTGTCCAGGCAAATTCAAGGCAAATATGAAGTTTGGGAAAAGGAAACTACTTAAATAAAAGGTGAAGTTTCAGGATTTGCACAATGTGCCTGCGCCCCCCCCCCCCCACACACACACACACACACCCGCACACACACACCCGCACCCAAACACACGCACTCCCGCCCCTAGAAGAAGAAGCTTCCGCTAAAGTTAATGAAACTGCTTCGATACATGTTCATCTGACGTTGCTTCCTCTTTAACAAAGTCGCTCTTTTCCTCCAAAATCTCCTGCATCACATCATACACTGGCCTTGTGCACCCTGCTGGAGGACCTACGTATTACAGTTGGGCAGTGCCAGTTTTATCCAGATACGTTCCGTTGTTTTTGTTGTCAAAAATTTGCTGTTGTCATTGTTGCCTAAATCACTTTTGACAAAAAATGACTTGGACCATTATTTTAGGAAGGTGAAGAAATAATTTTCATAAAACAGAACAATAATACTGATGTGCAGAAATTTCCCCCCCCTCCAAAAAAAAAGAGTTTAGCCTTTAATGTGTGGAATTTTTGACTAATTTCTGTTTTTCTAGTGTCAGTGTTGAAGGGTTAACCCGGAGTTAGTGTAAGCTGTGAACACTGGGGTCAGACAGAAGCAGAACGCTGATTCCCATAGATCAACCCGACCCCGCCTTATTCACTCTGACACCACCAGCATCTGGACTCCACCAGGTGAGCCCCTTCTATAGGGGTCCCCACACACATCCACCGTCTCCTTGACAACCACTTACCATGACAAACCACCGCCACCCCCTTCACCATGACGACCTCTGGCACCCAGCCGTCCTCCGGAGGCCTGGAATGTAGCTAACTCGGCTGCAGCGGAGCCAGGCCGGCTGAACCCCCTTTACCTCCTCACACCCCGTCACTGCTGGGGGCTAATGCAGAGGAATCACAGGAAGCGATTCTCCTTTTCACAATAAAGCCCACTTCACCCTCCACAAGTGACCCCTCACCTCCAGAAACAAGAACCGATTGGCTCCACGCACCCACCCACCGAATGGAGATTCTGTCCTGCTGCAGGCTGAAGGGAAAAACTCAGGGTAGAAAAATAGTTTGGATTGCAGCATTAACCCAGTTAAGGCCCAGTGGTTTCGCCTGTTTCAGAGCTGAGTGGAGTGTGTGCAGCGAAGAGAAGGGCTGATTGTGCGTTGTAGGATTGCGTGTGCAGAAGCAGCGGCTCGTCACACATGCATGCCATTTCTTAAAGCTTGTCTTTGTGCCTGCAGGTTGCATAATGATTTCCTGACAGCCTGTCAACCATTTCAAATTGATTCCAGGAAACAGGGCTTCCTTCTCCATTCTCCATGCCATCATCTGCATCCCCTGATGACTCTGCTCCTGAGCTGTCTCTTTTGCTCACATTACCTTTTCAGAATACTGCTGTCCTGGGTGGAAGCGACAGGAAAAGAAAATAATGTAGTCGCCCAGGTAGACGGGTGATTCTGAGTTTTTGACTTGCAGCTTTAAGACCTGTCTCTAATTTCAAACTGCGTGTGAAAGTTTTCCTTCTGGCCTCCCAGGATGGGGCGGAGATGCAGAGAACGACAGGCAGCTGAGAATGTTGCATGTTTTGCTGAGTGGTGTGTGACTTACCCCCCGGCTGTCCCTGCAGGCTCAACATGCTCTCACAGCGCTGGCTGATGCTGCTCAGTACTCCGCTCCTCCCAAAGCTTTCATCTGCCATCGCTCCAACCTCCCTTCTTCTTTCCCTCCCCTCTCTCTCTCTCTGTCTCTTTCTCTCTCATCCTTTCTCGACATCTTTTGTCTACCCATCCCATGTCTTCTTGTCCCTACATCCCAGCTCATCTGATTTCTCTGTCCTCCCACTTTCTTCATGCTGCTTCTCTCACCTCTCACTCTTTGCTTCACTTTCTCCATCTTTCTTCCCTCCCTCCCACCCCTCAGCCTCAGCAGCGCTCCGGGAGCATGGTATCGCTTGTCTCTCGGCTGGCACAGAGAACAGGCAGACACATGGGAGGGCTGTTTTGTAATCCAGCAGTTCATACCACCCTGGCACAGTGAACGGGGGTAGGGGGGAAGCAAAGCATGAGGAGAGGGGGAGGGAGGGTTGAACAGGCCTATACTGCTACCTACTAACCTATACTTTCGCTTCATCCCTCTGTCTGCGCCTTGATGGTCTCTCCCATTTTTCCCACCGCCGACAAGAGGTCTCGCCTCTCTATATCCTCTCATTTAGGTCGGGGGGAGGGAGGGAGGGAGGGAAGAAAGAAACAAGGATGGATAGAGGCGGAATGGAAGAAGGAGGAAGTGTGGGAATAAGATGAGGAATGAAAAGGAAGAGGTAAGGGATGAACAGTGGATGGGATGTCTGGGAGGGTGTAGGATGGAATCAATGAAGAATCTGAGCTCCTGAAATATTTCATCAAAAGGTATAAAATGTTTGACAAACAGGAACAGAACAGAAGGACTATTTGTACCCGATAGCCGACTGCATGGAAGAGCAGGTTTAAAACGGGCAGGAAGCTTTGAGAGGTTGGTTCCCAGGGCGACGGGGCGGCTGCCTGTCATCTCAGCAGATATCCTCAGTCGCCTCCAAACCCAGAAAACCATCAGCAGACATTCGATTCAAAGAATCTCTAAAGTTGAGGACTGTTCAAGTTATGATGCTCTCTCTAAATGTTCCCACAAAATTCCCTTCATTTTCATTGAGATCCATGGAATATGGCTTTATAAGCCTCCCGTCAGACATAGCAAGACAGAAATGATGATCTTATTATTATCCATGTCCTGAAGCCTCCCTTGGCAGTGGATTCAATTCCTTACCTTGAAGTATTGATGGAAATGACAAAATTTAAAATAACTTTATCTATTTTGCAAATTTTGAGATGGCTTTTGAAATTTCCATAAAACAGTTTAAAGGTGAACAAATAGGTTTAGGTTTGCCTCTCTGTTTACGTTTGTGCCTTTGACGTAACACAGCAGGTCTGATGTAGTAATTACAAAACTGATTGGTGATTTTTGGCTCAATAGGATCTGGTACCAAGTACACTTATGAAGCATACTCCAGAGGTGGTGGGGTAGAAGTGACTTGGCTAGTTTTATGGTAATAACCATGATTCCATCTATATTTTTCTATGCAGATCTTTGAAAATGACAAGATTTTTTTTCAATTCTGCAATTTTCAATTGGTTTTTGATATTTCCGAAAAAGAGTTAATGCGCTGAAGGGGAGTTGGAAACATATTTACTGAATAAGTACTGACATAGTGAACATTTACCTCACAACTGTTGAGCTGTGCCTATTATCAGTGTCTGTCAGTGCTGCATTTCTTTCTCAACATCTCAGGACAGCATGTAACATCGACAGTATTAGTTAACATAATAGAAAAGCTACAACACATTCCTGAAAACTTCTCTTCACTTGTCTGAAATGTGTGGTCTGTATTTAGCAATCTCTACTTCCTGTTTCTGACAGTTATACATAACATCAACATCTGACAAAATAACGCTTTGCATGGCCTGATTCATTCGCTCCAAACCAGTAGATGGAAACACAATTAATTTTTCCCAACATTTTAGAAGTTTGCTGAAAATCAGTTTTGCAATTGGATGGAAATGTAAGTAATGACCGTACAATCTAGGAAAAATGCTGAATATATATACAATTGAAATACATTTTCAATTCAGAAAAGAAGAATAAAAACACTAAAAGACATACAAGCCTGAGTCCAAGATGCTCTCTTAGACAATATTATAATTCAACTCATCGTGTCTCTCTGAGGTCACTTTAATTGAATATAATCATTATATTTGAATACAAAATGTGAGCCTAATGATGTGTTACATTACCCATTCAAACCATTAGATGGAGTTTCAATGTCATGGAGTCATTGGTATTTCCTAGGACCTGGCCTGCTTTCTTAAGCATCTCTGTCTTTATGTGAATATAATGTATAAATCATTATCCACTTTTCGAACTATCCTCCATCTTTCTTTTTATACTTCTCTAAAAGGGACATATGGTAGCTGTTAATTCTTTCCAGTACTTACACAAAGCTGTGATTTTAATGCATGCCAGACCATTCTGCTCTGGTTCATAAACTGAACTTTACCTGCAGCATATGGCTGCAGCAGGCTGCTCCAATATGTTGCTGCAGTGAGATTTTCTAATGTGCAAAGGTTTGCATGTCTTTTTGAAAAAGTGACAATAGTGAGATTGAATGAATACTCAAAGCATGAAAGGAGGAGACATGGGAAGTGTGTATGTGTGTGTGTGTTTATAAGTGTGTTTTAACATTTCTCACCTAAGACCCATTTTCCAACAAATACCTAAAAAGTGAGGACTGACTGTGCCAGTGGTATTTTTGGGTTTGGGCTAGGTTTAGGACTAAGGTGTGAGTTGAGTTTAGGTCAGGTTTAGGGTTACACATGTACTAATAACGCTTAGGTTTAAGGTTAAAAATAAGGTTGAGCTATAGAAATGGATGAAACATAATTAGAAATCAATATTAAGATCTTGTGAAGACAGAAAATTATACAGATGGACTTGATGAAAAGTATGCATAATAAATGCTTAAACGTTATTTTCAAAAGGTACTTTTATTCTGATAAACATGACTATTTTGGATGTACATTCTAATTTATTGGAAATAAATTGTGATTTATATGACTGTAGATGGGTGAACTATGTTACCTGATCTGCTTGATATATCACTGAAAAGCTGGGGTATGGATGGATCAGTGGGTAGATGCTGCAGTCCTCAACACAGTTGTCCTGGATTCAATTCCCAGTTTCAGCTGATTTGTTACATGTTGACCCCTTCTCTCTCCAGACTGTTTTCTCACAGATTACTGTTGAATAAAGGCCACTAATGCCCACAAATATCAGTGATTATTTTTTTTATTTTGTTTTTTTTTTTTTTTTCAATTTTGGCCCATTTCATTACAATGAACCTTTTAAACTGCACACTGGTAAATACAATAAAGTCCAGGTAAGCAATGTTCTAACACACCTGCTTGACTTGAAAAAGCTACACTGACAAACAGCTCATCAGTCAGAAACCATCACTGAGTTTCTGTTTATTCTTGGTCTGCTTTCTGTCCCATTAGCCTTGTTGGAGAGATGCAAGTGTGACTTGCTTATGTATTCGTAACAGAGATGGAATCCACTAATGGCCTCATCCATGCAAATCTGTGTGACAATAATGATAGCAAATATGGGTACATGTACTAGATAATGCTGTGCACAAAAAAAAAAAACATCCTAAACACTGTTTTCATTGGCTGTTGTGATCTAGTTTTGGAAAGTTGAAGTGACAAATTAGGAGACAGTTTAAGACTTCTGGATCCAGATAAATGCACAATATAAAATAATTTTCTTAACATGAACTAGTTCATTTTACTCTTTTTTATTCTTTTTTTTTTTTTGCATTTTTAGTTCTCACATTTATTTTTATTTTTTTTTTATCATGAATCAATTTGTTCAGTATTCATTAATTTTTAATGTACGAACTATAAATAATTGAAACTGACAAACTCAGGGTTTTATACATTTCTTCGACATCCTGTTTTCTGCTGCAGTGCTGCAGAAATTAAGATGTGTCTGAGAGTTGTTAGTGCAAATAAAAAGACATTGTGACAGTTAATGTGAAGCCCCACTATTGGAGCAGACTGTAATATCAAAAGGGAAGCAATAATGTATAATTATATGCAGTCTCTTTATGCATTTAGATGTAAAAAAAAAAAAAGTACAATGAAATGCACATTTTACAAAAACTTCTAATTTTACTGTTTTTGTGTGCGTGTGTGTGCAAATCTGGCAGCGATGTTATTTAAGAAACCAGACAAACATCCTCTATTAAATGTGGAAACTGGCAGAGGATGTTCTTGCTCTCACATTCATGTCACTCTGTTGTGCAGAGCATTCGCACCTGGATGGATACATGAACATATGGCCATGCATCATGCAGAATAAAACATGTCAAGTCCACAGCAGGCTGTCCAGAGGCTGCTATGTGGAAAGGATCATGGAGTAGCTCACCTTCTGAGAAACAAAGGCAGGAAGCATACACTGATGTGCATAGGCAGCAGTGTGCACATTCACATATCTGACATAATACACAGCCGCTCACTATTTAGGGAGCTCTTCACATTTTAGAGAGCTTTTTTTTAGCCATTTGTCAACCCTGCAGCTCATAAAAACAAAACAGGTTAATGACGCAATTCATTAAACAGAATAAAAGCAGCAGCATGTCATTATGAAAAATGTCTTCAGTTTTTGACACTGATAAACCCGCCCTCCCATAAAATTAACTACTGACACAACAGCAAATAATGCAAATTTGAGAGCAGGAGAAGAAAATAGTGCAGATAAGTGGTCAGTTTGTGCTGCACCATCGTTCGACTATAACAACAGAACCACAAAGATAACTCAGAATCACCTAACCTCTTCAGTTCTGGACTGTCATCTGTGACCAGTGTCACAAAGCAGAGAGTAAAAAATCAACTAAGTTCATTTAAAGTGAACATTTTGCAGTGCTTATCACAAAATACCTTGGGCAGAATCTCCAGTTTTGTCCTAACATCACACTGCTCATTGATATAAAAGTGACATGACTTGAATGCAGCAGTGAGTTTGCAAACTTCTCTGCTCAGATTGCCAGTAGAACTTTGGCATTACCATGACAGACTCCAGCCTCCTGCTGTTCTCTTCCCATCTGGTTTCTCTCCTTACCTGCTGGTGAGTCATCCTCCTCTCTTGGTTTAGATCTTTCCGTTTTCTCTCTCTCTCTCTGTTTCTCCCTCTCTCTTTCTGTCTCTCTCTCTCTCTCTCTTTGTCTCCAAGTAAACTAATTTTGTGATCATGTGTACTATGAAGCAGTGTAAGTCAATGCAACTTACTGCACATTGCATTTTAATAAATTTGACAAACTGTCACAATGTGGAGCAATTGCCTGCAGAACTGTGGAATTTC